GGAGCCAGGAAAGGCAAACAGGAAAACTCCAGATGTGTGCAGGCAACTACTGGCACAAGTGAACTACAGGCAAACAATTCATTATGAATGGTCTAAGTGGCCGGGTGAAGATCTACACCCTCTGCAAAGGTTGAGATACACCAAAATACAAACTGAGGTATCTCTGGGAGCTTTGACATTCATTCTCAAGACATCATAAGCCCTGGTAACGGCCTGCAAGTGCATGTTCTTAGCCTTTGGGCAGTGCAATGTAATTTGACACAGCTGAGCCTGCAGTGCTGCAGGCACACACCTTAGACTTCTTTCATTTATACGGCCCCGGAGAAGAATATCTCAATTCTTTTTCAGTAATACAGCATTCACAAGTCCAATACTTCAATATTATTCTTTACATCAGACATTTAGAAAAAAAAAGAATCTGATAATCAATCAACAAATGTTGTAGATGGAAATACAGATTTCCTCAGGTCCAAATTTGTACTTTCCTTATCGATTTAAGAGCTGAAAAAAGCATACAGAAGGATGGTTATTTAATAAAGGTCCTAGAAACTGTATAGGTTGCATTAATTACCTTCTTTTCCAAAATTAGACGGTCAGTCAAATAGCTCTGAGGTAGTTAAATAGAGTATTGGAAGAAACATCCAACCTAAGCAAAGGGTAACAGACTAAATGGGACTTTTCATATCTGCTTAGATTTATGAAAAATCTTCCATAGTGCTAAGATTAAAAGCCCTAAAGTTATCAGTGGCATTTATGAATCACAATTGATGTAAGATATTCTCAAAGGAAAACAACGAATGTTCAATGCAGGATGAGACGACAGCACTGCTCTTTTTATTTTGTTCTGGGAGAGTATTTGTATGAACACATATATGTGCATCCATGGTAATCGCAGACATAACCCAGAAACTATGGTGGTGGGAGCTTTGCTCTCTGAAAATCAAGTAGCCCATTAGGAGGCATAAATATTAATAGAGCTGTCTCATACTACACTCTCAAATGAGGTAGTTCAGATCATGATTCTTTGCATTTAAAATTTATTCTCTGCACCAGCTAGAATAAGAAACAGAATCCGCATGTGAAAAGTCACTGATGTTGGGCAGTTTCTTAGCCATTGGTAATTCCCACATGTAAAAGTATGGATCAAGTGATTTATTTCCTTATTCTACCCATCTTTCTCCTATAAGTAGTCTTGTCTCCCAAACTACTTCCATGACATGAAGTATATGTCATGTTTTCTATGAAAACCACACTTCCATATCTTCACATTGAGATCTATTCAGGCAACATGAAGGCTTTTGTACAGGTTCATCGCAAAGGCGTACTGTCATCCCAACTGCAGAATACATAATATCTGGCATTTCTTTTAGTGGTCATGATTGTCAAACTTCATTTTATAATTGTCATTAGAACTGAAAGTAGGACACTCATGGTGCAAACTCTTGTAACACAACTAAATGGATATACAGTATTAAAAAACAAAGCAAAACAAAACCACAAGCTTGCAGCTAAAACAGAAGATACAACCCTCAAAAGTGGTAATGAGTTACTCTGTCATTCCAAATCACAAGTTCATGCCTTGACTATAAAACAGAGATCAGCAACACTAAACAAAGTGCAAAACTGTTCAGGTATTTCCTACAAATGATGCTAAAGCTTGCAAGAACTACCACATCATCAGCAATACAACCAGCATCAGTCAGTAAAATGGTGTCATCTGGGATATAATTTAGGTTCTACTACAACTTAAAACTATGGAGACTAGCCACAAAGAAAACAAACACAAAACTAACAAATGCCTTTGTACAAACTCTCTAAAACCAGCCCTAGCAAACAGGTGTGATTGTATGCACTCCCTAACAGAATTAGCCAACTTCTGACCTTCATGGGCCCAGTAAGAAACAGACATGAAAACAAGGGATCTTTCATTACTTACAGAGACGATAAATTGAAGGTTAAGAAATATACTGAAATATAAGCAACTATATTGAGCAAAAAACAGGCTAATATTTCCTCCCTCCTTTTCACTCAGCTCCCATCCTATCAACTTGTAGTCTCTGTAGTGCTCATATCGAAATCCCAGCAACAAATTGTAATGGTTATAATTCCCATTACAACATCTAGCAGGACTTGCAGATAGGATTGCTTTCATTTCTACATCTGTCTTCATCAGATTACTTCCTGTTCTTCAAAATTTTTAATTTCCTCATATCCCTCAGCTGACAATTAGTTCTTACTAGTTTATTTATCTAATAAAATCTATTTCATATAATAAGTTGGCATTAAATAGTATATAAGATAGCGCATGGTTTGGTAACTTTTAATTTATGTATCTTGTTTTAATTAAGCAGATGGCATAAAAGTTTTCCTCTCATTTTCCTATTTACTCTTTTCAGTAACTTATCATTCACTGATTGCAATGAAATGACTACAACCTACATCCAGCAAAGGAGACAGTATCAGTCCTTTCTTCTTTCTCTGTATGAGAAAGCAAGACCCTTTCCAAGCTGGAAGATGACCTTACTCTACTGCATCTTTGCTCTACCACTTGATCCCACTACTCTGAGATATGAAGGCACTCCAGACCAAGGAGAACCCAAGGCTGTGTATGGGTGAGCAGAGGGTGAGCTGCTCTACGAACAGGGATGGCTGCTGCTCTGCCAGCTGCCCAGGCAAAAGGAATCCAGTGATTCTCTGCACTTGTCAAGGAGAAAGGTAGCTGCTGCTGCTCCTTATTGTGCTGTTTCTGCAATGAATTTAACTGCAGAAATACCTCCAGAATTTCAAATAAGTCTCTTTATTCTCCTTCGGGCTCACAAGACAATAAACATGACTTTCTCATCTACTGGGCTCTTCTTTCCTTTATTTTTGATATTTTTCTGATTTATTTTTTATTTTTTTAATATTCTCTCATAGGAAAAATACTTTCTGAGAACAATGATGGAGATCTGCATCTTTATTTATGACTTTGTGAATCAGTGTCTGGGTGATAGGAAGTGAAAGTTGCTCAGCTAATTACACACGCTTGATGAACTGCGTAATAACTGCTGCAGCGCTGCACATTAATTGAATGCATATAAATGACAGCAGTTATTCTAACTTGAATGATTTGTGAAGAAGTGACGTTGCTCACCGTACCCTGATTATCTTTGTTTTCAACTTTGGCAATCCAGCTTAAGCAATTGTATTTTTACAGCACTGAGAAAAGAAATTCCCCAATAGAAACATCAGCGGTTGACTCAAAGCCCAATGCTTTAAGAACAAATTTAACTGCCTTAAGTAACTGCAACTGGATTCAGACATCTAAGAAAGCATACACAGAGCAACTACAATTAACAATTAATAATTAACAACTAGCTGCAATTAACAGTCAGTAAAACTGCAATAGCAAGAACCTTGGAAAATAAGGCCACCTTCATTTAGATGCCTAGATCTGAGTTAATAGAGTTGAACGTTGCCTGACTTTTTACCATTTCTTGCTATGATACTTCCTATATTTGTTCTGGAGTAACTGCAGCATATAGCAACTTCTAGTAAATACGCAGGTAAGACTACAGGTAATAGGTACCTCCCACACAGCTCTGTTTACCCTAAAAAACACTCTAGGTTCAAGAGTAGCCCAACAATTACAGAGCACATTTCAGAGATAATAATAAAAAATAATAACTTGTTGAAAAACAAATGTGTAAAGTAGTATAAAATTAATACTTTAAAGTTGTTACCAAATACCTGCTTCAAACCACTACCAGAATATACCTTGCACATCACCTATTAATCACCTTGGGGATCTGGAAATGCCCACAAAGAAATCTGCAAATTCCCCGATGCTATCTAACATTACAATGGTAGAAGCCAAGATTCTAAAACGCCCTTAGTTTCCAAAGTATCACCTCACAACATTTTAACATTTCTTTACACCCCTATTAAGAGATTTGGAGTTTTACAAAGAGAGCCGTAACCACCCAATAAAAGAAATCAGCACTCACTTTTCACAACGCATAAACGAAGTGTTTCACAAAAACGTTCCAGAAAAGTTAACAGTGCTTTAAGAAAACAGCATGGATCACATAGGAAGTCAACACAGATTTTCAGCTCCGCTTTGCTACAGTACCTAATAGCCATCGCACTAAGCCACTGGACTGTAGAGCTGAGGAGTGCCAGCAGCATCAGTGGCTCCCAGGCATGAGAGCCACCTCCTGTGCATGCATATACAACGCAGGGTGTCAGCATATGAGGGACAGACCTCTATACCACGAGGCCATGACAGAGAAGCTGCCAACGGGATCAGTATAGGACAGCAAAAGAGAGATGATCAGGATCAACCAAGTTCAAGCTTTGCAAATGTTATCTGCTCATTTGCTTTATGCAGTCCTCTCCTTAAGTACTTTCCTGGCTTTACTACGACACAACGGACAGCATCAGCAAATCAACCTCTTTCAGCTGTATTATATGCTCCTCCTTTGCAAGGTTTCGATTTTTCCCCCACTTTTTTTTGTACACTTTATACATACCTCCTTTTCTACAAATTTTCTTGCCGGGTTTTCTGGCACATTCCTTGGATATTCTTTTGACTGAAAAATGAATAGAAGACTAGAAAATAACATGGAGCTCCGTCACAGACAGTAGGAGCATGCAACACCACTATCTAACTCAAATATGACCTGCGTTATTAGGTGCGGAAGAATCTCAACTTGTGGTGCCTGCACATGCAATGGATAAGATGTTGATGCATCTTCCCAGAAGTCAGTGGGTGGCAATGAGAATTAGGCACCAAATTCGACCTAAAAATACACGTGCTGTGGGAGAAAAGAAATGAGTGTAGACGGAAGTCTTTTTTTTTAAAAAAGGACAGATGCATACAAAGAAAAGCAGCATGCATACATGTAGTATGCTGGCATGCAACAAAGAAAGCCATGCTAACAGTAGACATGAATTAATATTGTTAGAACGTAGAACAGGAAAATAAAAAGATCTCCCTGTTTTGCCTGCTATTAACTCACCATCCTCGGTTGGGACATAGATATTTAAATAGAGGCAGTCTTCATTCTGATCTTGTACATAGGTGGAAACTACATCCAAGTTATTAGTAAACCACACGGGAAGCATGACTTCAGGCAACCTGCCTTCTATAATGTTCTGGGGACACACTGGAGCAAACTGAGTGGTATTTTTGATATCTGCCCAGGGAGACGGAGGCTCAGGAGGTTGAAAGCGGCGCTCCCCTGTTGGAGGGGCAGCATACGGAACCCCGAGAAACTGAATAACAGGCCCCAAAATTTCATTATTTAGTTCCTTCTTAATCCCTCTTATCTTGCCAAAGTTGGTGGTCACCACTGGGTTGGTATCATCCAATTTTTGGGAGGACACAGCTGCAGCGTGAAGCAAAAATCCAAGTATAGAGAAAGCAAAAGTGGCATTCAATCCCATGTGTAGCAGGCGGGCTATCAGCGCTCTCCATACACAGTTCAGCCACATGGATCTTGGAAAGGCCATGGTCCCACATTAGTTGTGTGACTACAATGAAGCAATCTTATTTGTATCCACTGGTGTAAAAAGAGGGCGACCAAAGGAAACAGATCAAGTTTCCTAAATAGGAGCCTGTCAGAAAAATCTCAAAAGGCTTTTCATGTGGTAAGTATCTTCCATTGATTTCACACTTATTGAAGCTGCATCTTCACTCAGCACTATTTATCAGACTACATCCTATTGACAATTCTGTTTTCCATAGCAGCAATATGAAGAGAGCGGCCATTTACTGCAGAATCCCCTCTTATAAATCAAATCCAGTTAGCCGCAGGTCTATATCCTGGAGAAAATGAAAATAAATCATTAGTATGAAAGAGCTAATATGAGCAGAGTGATAACTAGATGTTTCACAAGTTATGTACATACATTAATAGCTGCTAGAACCATGTAAGTAAAACTGCACTAGTTTATGGGTCCATGAAATGGTGGGTGAAGCACTGATTACTGGATTATCCATAACATCACCTGTTGAATTCACACAGGTTTTTCAGAAGAAACAGATCTGATAGAAAACACATTTTTAAAGTTCGCCTTGTCAAGAATAATTACTTTGCTGCCAGGCCCCATTAAATACATGTTTATTCTCATATTTAATTCAACTGAATCATCTCCAAATCAGTTCTCACCTTATTTGCACTACCAAAAAAAAAAAGTAATTATTTATTTAAAGTAAAAGAGTGAATTAAGATATACAGGCATACAGAAAACTCAAATGCTTTTTATTTCATCCAGAGCAGATGACAATATATGCAAACATTTGTTCATTTAACAATACAACTTCTGATTCAAACATCAGGACAACTGGTATACCTTTATAAGAATAACACAAATTACCATGCTTTGTATGGTTTTCTTATCCTCAAATTTCTAATAGCTAATGAAACGCACCCAAATTGCGGCAGTGTGAAACAGCCACAGAATGACAAAGGCCCACAGTCTGCTCCCACCAAAGTGAATGGAAACTGAGATTTGCACAGAACTATGACTAGACATCAGTGTTTGTCCCTGAAAACTGACCAGGAAAAGGGTCTGGGCAGGCGCGTTAGGGATGGAGCAGATATCACAGTGTTTACTTCAGACCCATCCCACCTTCCTTTTCAACTACTCACAAATGAAAACACACCATGAACACGCTCAATTCCTACCACTGTTATTTTACAATATAAACAAGAAACGCTCCCATAGGGCAGTGGAAATCTTATCTTTCATATACCCCCATGCTGACTGAACAGTATCCTGGAACAATCATCAGGGACTGTATAACCACCAATTCCAGACTCTATTTTCAACCACGTTAGCTCAGAGGTTGTCACACAAGGCTGTGTTCCAGCACTTCTGAAAATTACTCAGTGCATATCATTATATCTTCCATATGCATGTTAAACATATTTCTAACATGACTTACAATATCCTATTATTTAAAATGCAGTGTTATACACAACGTAGCAGTGTAATCTTACGCTCCCTATTAAGCAGTGTGCAAAGCACAAGAAATGTGTTTTGCTTTGCATAGGAAACACTTTAAACCACCTGTTTTTGAACAGCATTGGCAGTTTTAATGAGAATTGTTGTTTTTTTTTTATCATGTCTATACACATTGGAGAGAGAATTCAAAAGAACGGCTTGTCTAATAGTCAGACTACCCTGCAGTTTGGGTTATTAAAAAGGAGATTGTAAAAGCTATATAGGACAGCAGGAGATTTGGTTCATGTCTAGCATTCCTTTAGCTCTGAACAATCTATCTCAGGAGGCAATAAGGAGATAGATGAAGCTTTTCCACAGTTTTCTCTCTCCCTTTCTTTCTCTGCTAATTCTAACACCTTCACTGTGAAACTGCATTAAGAAACAGGCTTATGCCCTTCATTCTCCAGCTTCAAACTCCCTGTGTTTACTGGAAACACACCAATTTAGCTGCAGAAAATAATTCCCCTGAGTTAACCTATGTGTTTAATAAACTTGAACAGAAGGGCATACGAACAATTGGCTCTCAGCAAGCTTTGTCACATTTCAAATTTTGAAGATAGTGGGCTATTGCTTGAGAAATAGTACGGACAGAGGACAGGTGCTGGAGCACAGGCCACTTCATGCAGTTTTGCTGCTCTGAGCTGATGTGCAGTGATGGAACAGGAGGTCCTGGAAAGATTGAACAATTCACCCTATGAGATATAGACCAGTTCTCAGCTCTAAGACAACTTTCTAACCCTTTTGGTACCTAAAACAGAAGTTTTAACAACAATGATGAAATCACAGGAGTTCATCAGAACACAGACATATTTTGGATTGTAAGACTTCAGCAAGACATTTTCCTTTAAATAATAATTTCAGTTCAGAATAAGTTACGTAAATTTTAAGCAAATCATAGAGCCAGGCTACAGTTTTAAGCTTGTTCGTCTTGCTGCTGCAGCTGAACATCTCTGCTGTGATTGAAAGTTCTGGTTTGCTTCCCTTGGATGAAGTTTTGCTCTAAGACAGAAACGGGGCTAAATTGATAAGACTAAATTGTTTGGCTATTCTCATTAATTAAGTTTTGGGTACTAGCTAGCTTCAGTGAATAGATTTTTAAGCCACACAAGGCAATAAACTGTAAGGCTTTGCAACGCTGGAATCAACAGATTCCAGTATTGTGCTCGTAACTTGAATTCTAGGTTTGTGTTTTTCCCCATTAGGCAACAGTTTATTGTTGAGAGTCAGATAGGTCAAATATCTGAGCCCGTTGCTGGATGCACCGAGACTACAAAAGTTAAGAACACTAACTGACACAAATAAAGAGACTGTGATTATTCGGATCTTATGAGAATTTTATGCCACAATTTCATACCCAGAACTAGGTGGGAAGGCAAAATGGGGATGCCAGCCTGGAGCTTAGCTGTCTTAGTAGCTCAGCATCAATGTTGGACACAAAATTTTCCTTAGTCCTCCAGCAGATGATCTACTTAGGACTTTCCCGAGGTATCCAGACTCCAAAGGACTGATCAGGGGTCAGTGAGACAGAAGCAATTAACAGGAGGGGGAAAAATCGGGGAGATGGGCATCACAATTAACCAAAGAACAGAGACGATCAGTTTGAGCCAAGGTATAAAGCTTTAGCAGCGGAGCACTGTAGATCTGAGGAGGACGAGGAGAAGCATTTTCAGATTTTTTATTGTCTAGATGTGAGGATCACAATTGTTCCCTGTGGTAACGCAAATGAATTCTACTGTAAAAGGTATTTGATAAAGTCTTTCACGGTCTTTGGAACAGTCTAAGCTATATAGAGGTTTTTTCTATCATCCATTATTTGATTATCTTCCTTTCTGAATTTAAATTACTTTATAGCTCAGATGCTGAAATACTTTAGAACAGCACTTAGTATGCTGAGGAGCGAACAGCCCAAGATAACTTCAGAGTATCTTTGCATTTCCAATGACACAGGGCATCCCACAACCAGTCGCATCTGCTGCAAACTGCAGCAGCCAAACTCCTCTTTGTCACTCTTGCACAGAGCTTCAAGTCTTAAGGGATATCTTGACCTGTACCACCTGTCAATAGCTCCGACGGATTAATAAAACCTTCAGTGGGACTTGGTGCTCCTGGCCATATGCTGGGCATTATTTAGTCTTTACACCACTGGTTGTTTTTTTTTTAGCTGAAGACGTACTCTGTGACTTGATAATCATGCTTAAAAATTCCTTTCCTTCAGTTTTAGTGCAAACTCCCAATTGCAAAAATATTCATAGAAAGTGACTGTAAGGGTTTCGAACATCATACAGTGCTGCTTCATCTCGAAACACAAATACAATTTTGCAGAACCAACTGCATTTGCATCCATTTTTCCTTACAACGGTCTCTACTTACGACTGAGAGCCTAAAGATGTTTTGTGTCTCTAAAAGGAAACCTGTGTTCTGAAGAACGCTATGATCCCAAACAGGAACACAGGCAGAGAAATAGAAGCCATTAAAGGGACAACTGTGACCCAGGGTGAACACCGGATCACTGTGACACAACGATTGTCAACATGATCAGGCAAATCCTCCAGAGACATATCATGAAATTTCCCATCTCTTCCTTCACATTTGAAGTCGGTAAAGGGAAATGTTGTTTCAAATGAGGCGCATTTTCTCATAGTGTAGTAATAAAAATTTGGAAACAGACCCTGCTTTTGGGTACTTCCACAGAGACTTGGTTGAAGGAAGGGATTTACGTGTGTTTAGTCCAAGAAATGAGCTATTTGCACTCTAAAAAGCAGTCTTTGCAATGATAAAAGAGGAGACTGCAATCCTGAATCTCACACATCTTAGAAAGGCACAGATCTGGAGGAGCTTGGGGAGCTTCAGAAAGCAGCTACAGATCCAGATCTGCTGACATGCACAGCCTTTGCTGAAACTGCCAACAATTAAGACATTATTCTGCTGGGGTCACGGTCCCACCCACATTAGTATGAGATTACAAGTATTATGCTACACAGGTCTGCAAACAATCCAGGGGTAGGGATTTCCAAATGCTTCAAGCTGTGTCAATATATCACTCACAGATCACAGGATCAGATTCCTCAATGTAACTCTCACGTTTGCCTCTATTTAACAGCACCTTTTGTACACAAAGCCTTACAACCAAATCAGGAAAAACTACAAGTGAATATATACGAATACATTATTCAACACAATGAAGCACAAATTAATGAAAAGTTGGATCAAATTGAGTAGATGATATAAGACTCATTTAAATTGCCATGTACTTTTCAGTTTCGCTGTATTTTTGTTCTTCCCCATTAGTGGGAATATTCACTAATGCTAACTCATTATTAATTAGTATTTTCATGATCAAAAGATCTCTTTAAATAATTTCTGCATCTTGGTTTGCCAAAATAAGGAGACTTCTGATCTTAATTTTCTATTAAGATGCTTTTGAATTAGACAAATTAAACCTATGGAAAGAAGAGGGGCACTTCAGTCTTACTATCTTCCATTTACTCATACCAATAAATCATTTTCTTAAAATAGTTCTACTTCTTAGCTGAAGTAATTGTTTATATTACCAGAAGTTGGCTACAATTTGTTAATGTGGACTGTAGCTATCTGACATTTTGCACAGTAAGTAGGTAACGAAATGGTGATTTTATCCATAACAGAAAGAATGGGTAACTCTGTCACTTACGTGTAAAGTTTTAGACAGCTAAGTAATACAGATTTAAATTAAAAATGACAGATGCACTGGTGTGGAATATAATGGGCACTGAAGTGAACCTTTATTCCTTTTAGCAGCTTATGGTTAACTCTTAAATGGACCACATTTATACTCAC